TTTTATTATTTTTAAAGATTTTATTTATTTATTTCTCAGAGAGAGAGAGAGCACAAGCAGGGGCTCTCCACTGAGCAAGGAGCCTGACCTGGGACTCGATCCCAGGACCCTGGGATCATGACCTGAGCTGAAGGCAGATGCTTAACAGACTGAGCCACCCAGGCGCCCCTTGTCTTACTCCTAATTTTAAAGGGAATGCTTTGAGCACTCTATCATTTAGTATGACTTTTGCTTTAAGCAAGAATTGACATCTGGCCCATGGCCTATTTTTGGAGATAAAATTATAAAAATCATTTATTTACATATTCTGTGAGGCTGCTTTCATACTATAATGGTATATTTGACAAGCTGTGACAGAGGCTGTATGGTCCTTAAAACATAATATCTGACCTTTTATAGAAAAGGTGTGTTAGCTCCACTCGAGGGTTTTGATTGCTTAATAATAAGGAACTTTCCTTCTACTTCTACATAATGATTTAAAAATAATAACTCTTAAATAGGTGTTGAATTTTATACTTTTGTACAACTATTGAGATGAGGATTGTTTCTCCCGTTTTCTGTGTGGTAAATAACATTATAAAATCAATTAATAGTGAATAATCTTTACATTCCTGAAATACATTTTTTTATATCCTAGCAGATTAAATTTTCTAAAAATCTTAAAATGTCTGCATTGATGTTCATAAATGATATTGGCTTGATGATGTGTATAGCATTAGCTGTGGCGCATGTGGCTTTCATCTTTGTAGAGGTTTTGTTTTTCTTTTTTAAAGATTTATTTATTTATTTTAGAAAGATTGAGAGAGCATGAGGAGGAGGGGCAGAGAGAGAGGGAGGGAGACTCTCAAGAAGACTCCATGCTGAGCATGGATCCTGATGTGGGGGCTCTATCTCAGGACCCTGAGATCATGACCTGAGCCAAAATCAAGAGTCAGTCTCTCAACCGAATGAGCCACCCAGGCACACCATCTTTGTCGAGTCTTAAATGTTTCCTATTTCTATTAAAACATTTTGACTCATTCATTACTTAGAAGTGTTCTTTTGAACTTCCAAGTTTTTTTTTCCTTAAATGCTATTTGATTTATAGTCAGAATATGCTTTACATATTACTCTCTGATATTTATTGAGATTTACTTCTAATAGGTAGTTTGAAGTTATCAATTAAGTTTGTCACTTAAAATACTGTAATTCTAAAATGTAACTTTTGAAGCAAGACTTCGGTGTTGAATTCATAGCTCCAGCCTTGAAAATCTGTGTTAGAGCATTAGAGTGAGATGACCAAATTTGACTGAGGTTGTTTGAAATGTAAAGAGAACTTCCTTGAAAACCATTTATTCAGACTGTCCGTGTCAACTGTGATTTGACCAAAAATACCTTTTCCATTTTCTTTTTTAGTTTGATGTAAAAATTTTGCTAAGTAAAAAGAGATTATAACAGATTGTACTAGTTATGTTTTTATTTAATAGATCAGATGAAAAGAAGAACATGAACTGGAAGCAGCTTCCCAAAAAGCCATGCAAAAATCTGCTTAGTACCTTAAAGAAGTTGTATCCCCAGCTATCTTCAGGTAAATGTGCGGAGAAAGGAATATTTTTAATGAAAGAATATAAGAAAATTCTTAAATTTAAACATAATTTTGCTCTGCTTAGAAGGAATCTCATATCAAAACAAAATTTCAGTACTGAAACATTAATATTGTAGTTCATGATTTTTTTGAGTATGTTCTTTGTGTCCTGTCTGCTTGAGCCTCCCTGTTAGCTCCTGCCAGTGATCCCTTTACATTAATGAAGAGGAATTTCAGAAAGTCATGCGTTTTATTTTGACAACTTTCTTAATTGTTCAATCGTTACTTGTCTAATACTATATATTAATGCCATTTTCTCTTCATTTGTCAGTTCACCGAAAAACTCAAGAAGGTTCGGCAATTGAGATGACGCCAATTGAAGCAGATTTCTCCTGGCAAAAGAAGACAACACAACTGGAGATGGAAATTCAAGAGGCATTTTTGCGTTTTATGGCATCTATTTTAAAAGGATATAGAACATATCTCAAACCAATCACAGAGGCTCCTTCAAATAAAGCCACAGCTGTTGATTCATTGTTTGACCGACAGGGTGAGTGGCATTGAAAATAAAGTTACTTTTCATTGAAATGAAAAATATTTCCTTTTTGGTACTGCTTCCCCCAAAACATTCACTATGTAAGTTCTTAGAAACGTATATTAAAATACAATGAACTTTTGTGTATTTGTGATCTAGCTCTATGAAGAATTCCTTTTAATTTTTATACTCCATTTTTCCCTGAAAAATCCGAAACTGGAGATATTTAATAACGAAAAGTCAAAGATGTTGCCTGTATTTACTGGATAGTTATCTTAGTAGAACATACCTGGCGATTTGCTTTTAGATGTTCCTCAGTTTTGCGTAATTCTTCGATTTATACATTCTTGGCTTTACAATATTCCCTAACAGTTAGTTTTTGGAATAAGGCCACCAGTTTTTAGAATTTTTGAAAAACATAGCTTTGTTTCAGGGAAAACACTATACTCATCTTTTTGATACTTGTATATTTTAGGGAATTACAAAGACTTTTGTTTTTACTCAGCTGTTCTTATATGTAGTAGCAACCTTACAAATACAATAATATTTATATGAAAATTATTTTATGTTTCTGTATTTTTACCCATTAGTTACTAAAAAAAAAAATCTATACTTTTCTAATAATCCTTTTGACTTTTATCATCTCAACTTCAGGATAACCTATCTCTTAAATATTTAGTCACCACTTACAAGTCTGACTAGTTATTAGATAGGGATATAAAGAAGTGTTAAGATCTAGCTCTATGGGATAGTAAATGGAAAATAAATCTAAAATGCTTTTTAAAATAGAATGTGTACTCAAGAAAACAGATTTTACACAATTAATAATTCATTGAGAAGTTCCCAAATTTAGAAAAAGGGAGCATTTTTCCAAATGAATATTTCAGAAGACTTCATGGAAAAAGAGCATGACTTTGAAGAGTGGGTAGAATTTAGATAAATGGAGATGATCAGGAAAGGCTTTCTAAAAAACAATATGCATTAGGGGTGCCTGGGTGGTTCAGTTGGTTAAGTGTCTGCCTTCTGCTCAGGTCATGATCTCAGGGTCCTGGGATTAGCCCTTTGTCGTGGGCTCCCTCCTCAGCAGGGAGTCTGCTTCTCTCTCTGCCCCTCCCCCCTCTCATGAAATCTTTAAAAAACAAAACCAATATGCATTAAAAGCCAAGTCTGGGGGTGCCTGGGTGGCTTAGTCGTTGGGTGTCTGCCTTCAGCTCAGGTCATGATCCCAGGGTCCTGGGATTGAGCCCCGCATCGGGCTCCTTGCTCCCCGGGAAGCCTGCTTCTCCCTCTCCCACTCCCCCTGCTTGTGTTCCCTCTCGCTGTGTCTCTCTCTGTCAAATAGATAAATAAAATATTTAATAAATAAATAAAAGCCAAATCTGAATAGAATTTCTCCTTTGCTATTTACCAAGCCTTTCTGAGGTTCTCTTTTCTTATTAATAAAATGGGGATGATACCTACTTTATGAGTGGTTGTGAAGATTAAATGTATGTGAAGTAACTAGTAAAATTACAGTACTCATGGTAACAGCTGTTACCATTAGTGGTAATAACAGAATGGAAGAAACCTCAAGAACAAATGTGTAAGGCCTGTGTATTAGTTTGTCATGGCTATGATAACTAAGTGCCATAGCTTGGGTGGCTTACATAACAGAAGTTTATTTTCTCACAATTCTAGAGGCTAGAAGTCTAAGATCAACGTGTTGGCAGGATTAGTTTCCTCTAAGGCTTCTCTCCTTCATTTGGGAAGATGGCCATCTCCCTGTGTCTTCACATGCTCTTCCTTCTGGGTGAATCTGTATCCAGATTTCACTACTTTTTTTTTTTTTTTTAAAGAGTTATTAGAAGGAGAGAGAGAGCATGGGGGGTGTGGGGAAGGGCAGAAGGAGGGAGAGAATCTCAAGCAGACTCCCTGCTGAGCACAGAGCCTGACTCGGGGCCCAATCCCATGACCCTGAGATCATGACCTGAGATGAAATAAGAGTTGGTCACTTAACCAACTGAGCCACCCGGGTGCCCCTAGATTTCTACTTCTTATAAGTACATTAATCATTGGATTAGAGCCCACCGTAATTACTTCATTTTGACTTAATTACTTATTTATTTATTTATTTATTAAAGATTTTATTTATTTATTTGACAGAGAGAGACACAGTGAGAGAAGGAACACAAGCA